CGTTACTGGCACCAAAGCTAGCCACATTTTTTTTTTTTTTTTTTTCACGGAGTCAGCTGTTCGGTTTGCGGGCGAGCACCGCGCCGTTTACTCCTTTTTGTCGCTGTAGGTAGCCCCTCACAAAGTGGCTTGGCCAAGGCTGCTGAGGGGCAAGCAGGGCGCGCGTAAGCTGCTTAAGCGCGCCACGTCTGCTACTGCTTTGTTGTTGCAGGGAGCGCGCGGTTGGTGCGTTGTGTTGTGAATCGCCGAAGGATCGGATCGCGGTGCACGATGTCCCGACTGTCGGCTCGAAGCATTTCGCTGTCGTTGCGCTGCTCCCGCACCGCACTGCTCCAACTTCCAAGCAGCCCCCGAGCTGCATTCGTTCCGCTCGTCTCACTGTGAGTCGCTGTTCATTTCTGGATTTCCGCTTCCACATCCGCTTAGAAAGGGGGCTTTTTTATCAACGGATTGTCGTTTGAGACGGTCGTCGCTGCCGCACTGCACCTCGTCATCCGCCACTGAATGCCTAGACCAAGCAGGCATCGGTTGCTTAGCTGTCCACAGTGCTTTCAGGACGTGGGGGGTCACGCTTTTGCACGTATTTGGATCATTTCGCCGTCCTGGCCCAGCAAGGGACGTCGCCGGCCTTTTGATCTGGAATGTTATGCAGAGAGGGAGAGCTGCTTTATTTTCAGGCGTGCGGCATCGACCTCGCGACTCACTCCTCTCTTTGGCATTCCAGTCACTCGCCTACAGCATGTCCAGGGCAATAACAAGCAGCTGTACCGGATGTACGCTAGCGGTATGTTCATTTCTTTTCGCTCATCGGCAGTAGCACTTCGGCTGGCATAAATTTTGCGCCGCGTTATGACGATTCGAGTGCTTTGCGCAGTTCCCTCGCAACACCAACATTTAATATTTTCGAAAAAAGAGTGGAGCAAACTAGGTAGCGCACACGCTCGTCTTACCTTCACAGTAGCATTCTGGATGTTACGCCAGAAGATGCATTGCTGCTCATCCTCCCAGCCCTGCCCTGCTCTCGCATTTGGCATTCATTCGTGAAATGAAACAGTGAATGCTTGCAAACGGCGCCCGAGATTTTCAGTCTGAATGTTTCATTCCTACTGTCCTTGCGAGTGGGTGAGAAGTATTTGCACTTCATGACTCCAACCCTCCTTCGCTTTACCATTGTGTAAACCCGCGCTCCTCTTATTCGTCAAAATAGCTGCAGCTTGTAATGTCGCGGAAGTGTACTCCAGGAAGCGCGCAATTTGATGCAGCTACGCGTAGATGCATACCTGTGTGCCCTCTGCTTCAAAATGCATTTTGATTCGAACCTCAGTTCAAGCAGCCAATGTGTTTTTATTCGAGGGCTTCCGGACCATAGATTGATCACGATGCCGGCTCTTTCACCAACGATGGAGCACGGCACACTTGTTAATTGGCAGAAGAAAGAGGGCGACGAAGTAGCGGAAGGCGAGATAATCTGTGAAATTGAAACAGACAAGTCGGTGATGGCATTCGAAGCAGCCGAAGAAGGTTTTCTCGCGAAAGTTCTTGTTCCAGCTGGCACTAAGGGCATCAAAATTGGAAAAGTAGGTTGATTTAAATAAATGCTTCTCTGAGCTATGTAAAATCATGTGAAGTCGTTGCGTAAGCCCGTACTTCATTCTGCATCCGCCTCTCTGTCTGTGTAGTCTTCCTCAGAAAAGCTTGGCACAATTATAAAGTGCTTTTCGAAAGTCCCTAAATGTTAGTTTCACATACACACACACACGGAGCCTATTCATTATCAGATTGTTGTTTCAGCCAATTTGCGTTTTCGTAGACAAAAAGGAGGATTGTGGCGCTTTTGCAAATTTCAAGGCGGAGGGTAAGTTGTATTTTTATGCTATTATCACCCTTAGCTTACTCATTTATATGCTTGCTCTAAATGGTCAGGGTGCTTATACGCTTTGCTGCAGCATTTT